GTTTGCTTATGTTCATGCGTTCTTGAAAACCAGCCTTAAATTGCTTGAAAAATCGTGCATTCCACCTATTAAATTTCCGCTAAAGTAAATATCTTCGTCACACCTGCCTTTTCACATCATTAAAGTTTAGCTTTATTTAACTCGGCAAACATTTTTTTCCCCACCGAATTAAAAGCTGCGATCTTGGATATTATTTACTCACTGGTACTATAGACCCACCACTAACCGAATGTCCTTTGTTCCAAACAATTTTCGCATTCGATTCTGAGATATACAATCCTAATTAATCCAGCAAACTAATGACTAACTAGGAAGACGTTCTTATCGTTCGTCAAAGAGGGGACGAAAGACATCCTCGGCCCAAGAGGACCAGAGGACAGGCCCAAAAGGAGCGACGGCTCCGGGTACGAGAATGGAGGAGAGATTTCGACTGTCAGCTGCTGTCTCCGTAAGAGGTCTGTAAACTAAGCGGCCCCTTTGCGTTGTTAGTTTTCTTATTGAAGTTTTCTTTATCCATCTTGTGTCATTAGGCCTTATAAGTTCCGTTCAGAGAGAGAAGTCAATTTCTCAATCCCTTTCATTTTTAATTCAGCGTAATCCTCAGATTTAAAAGTGATGCTTCTATCCTTACTAAATCATGCAAAATGAACATCGAACTGATTTTTGACGATGAACACCCAAAAGATCTATAGGGGAATAGAGGCGGCTTTTTTAGGGTTTGGTTTGTCAAGTTTCTAATACATCGTGTGTTTTTTTGAAAAGAAAAAAAAAAGGTTCTGAATGTAGGTTCCTGGGGTTATTCTGGTGCCGGTTCAGTTTAAATGGCGGGCCATTCTCATCATGAGCTGGTAAATAACTACTGTTCAGAATGTTAACCGACAAATATTCTTCCCTGTACACGTCCAGTAAGAAAACTTTAGTTCAGCGATTAATGTAACCTTTTCAGATCCTCACTTCAGCAGGATGCTCTACTATGCAAGCCATTAATTACAGTCATAAAAAAAAATCCTTCATTAATTTTTAATTGTTGTTCTATTGTATCTCATGTCAATTTTGCAGGTATTCAATGAACACATTTATTTAACTTAGCACCGGTTTTAATTTAGCACCATTTCGTATTTTTTGCTCCGGACTAAACTAAGAAGAAGTTCAGAAAAAATGTTTAAACGTAATTTTCCTGTTATCTCAAACATAAAAAGCAATAAATGTGTACAAACATTAACATGGACAATGCATTGATTTACACTCTGCTTTTTATTACTTATACATAACTTTTCCTTTCCAATTCAACACCGCAAGCATTCCCAGAGGTTTCCCTGACAGATCTACCAAGCTGGCGACCTTCACAAATTCTCTTAAAACCTTCCTGAAAATTGGAACTTTGCAAGGCGTAAAGCAACGGATTGCAAAAGGAGTTTGAGAAAAGAAAGAATCGAGAGATTCTATGAAGTAAATACAGTGCGTCATAGTTGTCTTGGACAAATTCAGAATCTGTGGAGATAAGAAACGTGAAGTAGACAGCGAATGGAAGCGAGCAAACCGCGAAAATAATTGCTAGCCAGACGACTAGGCGAGCAAGTTGCTTCTTTGCTTGTCTGTCTTTTTCTGTTACTGTTGATTCCGCGCAAATTGTTTTTGTGAAGTACAAGCCGCGGATGATTTCAAAATAGCAAAACAAGAGAATTGCAGAACTCGCAATGCCAAAAGAAACACAGGTAAAAATGATGAAAGGTTTGTGAAGGAAATATTCATCTAAACTCCAAGGACGTTTACATGGATATTTGGAAGATGTAATGTCGTACGTATTGGCTTGGATATCTGGGATGCACGATAACAAGGCAAGGATCCAAAGTACCGCTATGACGTGTTTCACTTTGCCTTCAGTTATCCTCAAGTTGGAACGAAAAGGTTTCAGAAGCGCCAGATATCTTTCTACCGCTATTGTGCACACTGTTAAAACAGCTACATTGATGGTGATTGGAACTATGGCATTCCCTGCAAACAGTTTGCAGATCAAATCGCCCCAAAATCCTTCCAGGTGAACTCTGGACAAGGCATAGTCGTACAGCCCAGGGCAAAACAACAACGTTAGCAAATCTGCCCCAGCCAGGTTCATTAGCAGGTAGTTTGTTGTGGTGTGCATTGATGGCGTTTTACGCACAATAATGATCACAAGGCCGTTTCCAACAACACCAAGGAGAACAATCAGGGAGTACAACACAGCAAAAACGATGTCTTGAGTGGAAATCATGATGCCTGTATCGAATAATTAAACTTCAGTCTGCAGCCACATTCAATTCAGTGGACGATAATCTAATTCTGAGTAATATTTTCAGCTTAAGCCACTGGATTGCGGCAAGATTACCATCAAAGGGGCTCAGTTCCGCCGAAGAAACACATTCTCATGATTAATACATGAGTATAAGAATACACTGAAATACAAGACCTATACATGGCACGCGAAACTGTTTGTGTAACATGAGGAGCATCATTGCATCAAGCACAAACAGTTCATCAATTCGGCCTTTGGCGGCACCAAACCTTTTAAGTCCCAAACTAATCATGATCACCTAAGGAAGACACTTAAGCTATTCTTTACTGAGTGTTACGACCAGTTCTGACAGAGACAAATGACATCAAAAAAGAGTCATTGATCGAAAAACAGCGCAGTTAATATTTACAACAACACGCATGTCTCTCATTTAAAAAAAGTCTTTATGAACATTATTTTCTTTGTTCCCAGTCACTTTTTACTGAAAGGTGTACAAATCATAATTAAGGAGTTGTGTGAAAACCATCATTAAGGAGTTTTGCNGGTGAATATGATGAAAGGCTTGTGAAGGGAATATTCATCTAAACTCCAAGGACGTTTACATGGATATTTGGAAGATGTAATGTCGTACGTATTGGCTTGGATATCTGGGATGCACGACAATAAGCCAAGGATCCATAGTAATGCTATGCAATATTTAACGTTATCTTCATTTATCCTCAAATTAGATCGAAAAGGTTTCACAAGCGCCAGATATCTTTCTATCGCTATCGTGCAAACTGTAAGAACAGCTACGTTGATGGTGATTGGAACTACGGCATTTCCCGCGAACAGCTTGCAGATCAAATCGCCAGTGAGTCCTTGCAGACGAACTTTCGTCAAAGCAAAGTCGTACAGGCCAGGGCAGAGAAGCAAAGTCAGAAAATCAGCCACAGCCAAGTTCGTGAGTAGATAATTTGTTGTTGTGTGCATGGAGGAGGTTTTCACCACGATTGTTATAATGATGCCGTTTCCCACAACACCAGGAATGATAATGGTCGCGTGCAATACAGCGAAAACAATGTCCTGAGTTGTGAGGGAATTGCCATCTTGTTGAGA